ATAATAATAATGTTCTCAGTTTTAAAACTAAAAAAAATTGTTAATGTTATCGATTTTATTAGATAGTTGAATCAAACTAACAAGTAGAATGGCAAAAAAAATTTAATCTCATGCTCTATTTTTTTCATCAGTTAGTGAAACAATTATCTGAAACATTACTATATAAAATTGATAATGTTTTTAGTTTTAAAAATTGAAAAAAAATGGTAATATTCGCAGTTTTATTAAATAGGATTTATTGGTTCAAAAAATATTAAATATAACCTGAGCTACCATAACATTTATAAATAAGACTTTTATATAATTAACTCTTTTGTTTTTATAAATATTCTATTAAGTGATGTTATACAAACAAATTTAGAAGAAAACAAAAAATACTACATATAAATCTTATTCATTACCTTATTTTCTCACACTGACACACAAGCGGGTAAGTTTCATATACATTTTATGAATGTAGGTCCTATTATTTTGTCTCAAGAGATGAAAAAAACGAGATATAGAATAAGCAGTTCCGATTCGTAGCTCGAAATTCGGAGGTTCGAATTTGGTTCGACACCAAAACGACGTCATTTTGCATTTTTTTTTTTTTTCCCTTCTCTCTGGTCTGAAACTGAGACGAAGAAGAAAGAAGAAAGAAGAAAGAAGAAGAGGAGGGGAGGGGAGGGGAGGGGAGAGAGAGAGATCAACCTCTGAATTTGAACATGAATTTTTTGTTCAAAATCTGATGCAGATCCGGATCCATTTTCATCAAAATCAATTTTTTTTTTTGTACAATTTTTTTTTGTTCAAAATCTGCTGACTCAGATAAGATTTTTTTTGATCAAAATCTGAAGCTGTTGTACAATTTTTTTTTGTTCAAAATTTGATGCAGATCCAGATCCATTGAACAAATTTTTTTTTTTGATCCAGATCCAGATTCAGATCAATTTTTTTTTTCAACAACTCAGATTTTGAACGTCATCATCATCTTCAGAATTGCAATTAAATTCCCATTTTTAATTCAACATCTGGATCAAACTCCCATCTTCAACATCATCATCTTCATCAACAAAAAAAAAAAAAAAATTCCTCTGCAGATCCGAATCATCTTCAACATCTTCTTCATCATCTTCATCAACAACAAAAAAAAAATTCCTCTGCAGATCCGGATCAACATTATCATCATCAATTTTTTTTTTTTTTTTTTTTGCAGATCCAGACTTAGAAAAAAAATAAACAGATTTTTTTGAAAATATTTTTTTTTGCAGATCCAAATTTTTTTTGTTCATATTTTTGATCCAGATGCAGATGCAGATTTTTTTGCAAATGCAGATCCAGGCATCAAATTTCCCTTCTCTCTTTTCTCTCTCTCTCTCTCTCTCTCTCTCTCTCTCTCCCTCCTCTTCTCTTCCCTTCCCTCTCTGTCTCTGTGTTCGAAGGAATGAAGAGGAAAAAATGAAAACGAAAGAAAGAAGAAAAAGAAAAAGAAAAAAAAAAAAATTACCCAAAACGACGTCATTTTGGGCAGTTCGGACCATTCGAGCCAGACCAAATTCGAGCTAAGAGTCAATTTTTCCAGAACAAGATATGCATAGTATTGCTCAATTTAAAATTATCAGTGTGTAACTTGAGTGATCACTGAAATTTTTTCCTTATGTAGTATCTTAAAAAATAAAATTAGCGTAACTTGATTAGTCACTGGAAAATTTTCATATCAACCAACACTGATATGATATTATTCTAAAAACATTTATAGTACTTCAACAATGTTAGGGATAGAGAGGTCAAATACAAAATGAAACACAAGAATATTGATACAAAGTGGAACCTTTGTGCTATTGATACGTTATTTTTTTTTTTATTACCCAATATTCTATGAAAACAAAATTAAGGGTAGCATTAATTTCACGAAGAGATTTTCTAGGTAATTCGACGAATAATGATATATGTACTAATTAGTGTACTAATTGATGATATGACATAATTTAAAAAGTTTTTAGTATTTATAATTTGTATAATATGTATGATTAATAATAATATCATAATTAGTATTAATACACTACTTAATATATTATTTAGTGCATGTAATACCACTGTAACTCAACTGGCATCTCTCTTTTTCTCTCTCTCTCATCGAGGGACCATATTAAAAGATCCTAATTGGGCAAATTACACAAATAGTTCCTATAGTTTGAGATTTGTATTACTTTGGTCCATGACTTTTCAATTGTGACACATTTGACCCTGAATTTTAAATCTTATTCCAAATAAGGAATATTGAAGATACCGTTATTTAATTTCAAGGGTAAAATCGTCAATTTAATAAAATATAAACTAATTTGACAAAAATAAATGTCAAACAAATATTTTTAATTTTTAAAAAATTATTTTTATCTGTCAATGATAAAATTATGTAAAATTGATAAAAATTAATAAAAGTACATGATTAATTTTTTAAAATTAATTTTACATGATCATCATCCAAACACATAATAAAAATTAATTTGGTAAAAAAAAAATAAATGTCTAAAAGATTTGTCAATTTTACATAATTTTATTTTTAGTGGGTAGAAATAATTTTTAAAAATTTAAAAATATTTGTTTGACATTTTTTTTTGGTCAAATTAGTTTATATTTTATCAAATTGACAATAGTTCGGGCCATTCGAGCCAGACCAAATTCGAGTTACGAGTCATTTTTCCAGAATAAGATATGCATAGTATTGCTCAATTTAAAATTATCAGTGTGTAACTTGAGTGATCACTGAAATTTTTTCCTTATGTAGTATCTTAAAAAATAAAATTAGCGTAACTTGATTAGTCACTGGAAAATTTTCATATCAACCAACACTGATATGATATTATTCTAAAAACATTTATAGTACTTCAACAATGTTAGGGATAGAGAGGTCAAATACAAAATGAAACACAAGACTATTGATACAAAGTGGAACCTTTGTGCTATTGATACTTTATTTTTATTTTTTATTACCCAATATTCTATGAAAACAAAATTAGAGGTAGCATTAATTTCACAAAGAGATTTTCTAGTTAACTCAACGAATAATGATATATGTATTAATTAGTGTACTAATTGATGATGTGATATAATTTAAAATATTTTTAGTATATGTATGATTAATAATAATATTATAATTAATATTAATACACTACTTAATATATTATTTAGTGCATGTAATACCACCATAACTCAATTGGCATATCTCTTTTTCTCTCTCTCTTGTTGAGGGACCATATTAAAAGATCCTAATTGGGTAAATTACATAAATAGTCCCTATAGTTTGAGATTTGTATTACTTTGGTCCATGACTTTTCAATTGTGACACATTTGACCTTGAATTTTAAATCTTATTCCAAATAAGGACAATTGAAGATACCATTATTTAATTTCAAGGGTAAAATCGTCAATTTAATAAAATATAAACTAATTTGACAAAAATAAATGTCAAACAAATATTTTTAATTTTTTAAAAATTATTTTTATCCATCAATGATAAAATTATGTAAAATTGATAAAAATTAACAAAAGTACATGATTAATTTTTTAAAATTAATTTTACATGATTATCATCCAAACACATAATAAAAATTAATTTGGTAAAAAAAAAAATGTCTAAAAAATTTATCAATTTTACATAATATTATTTTTGGTGGGTAGAAATAATTTTTAAAAATTTAAAAATATTTGTTTGGCATTTATTTTTGTCAAATTAGTTTATATTTTATCAAATTGACAATTTTACTCTTGAAAAATCTATTGATATCTTCAATTGTCCTTATTTGGAACAAGATTCAAAATTTAAGATCAAATGTGTTACAATTAAAAAATCAAGGATCAAAATGACATATGCTCCAAACTATAAGTGGCTTAAGAAACAAATCAATCCAATGGGCCAACAAAACCCATTTTGTTAGTCTTCTAAGACAAAATCCAATAGGCTACACAAGCCACACTTCACACTTCTGCACTTTGTTTGAAATGAGAGGAATGAAAATAAGAAAAGTTTTAAAAATATATAAATCGATTATAAAATTAGATATAATTTTTTCACTATGTGAAAGGATTATTTAATTTTTTTTTCAGAGGTTTATGTCCTCTTTAGCAGTTTGAAAATAAAGGATACTAGTAGTGACCACCGGGAGTAGTTAGTCCATTTGGAGCCAAGTATAAGATCATATACTATAAAATGTGAACAACATAAAATGGTTTACAGCATGGGATCATAATAACTATATCTTTCAGAAGAAAAATGACAATTCTTTCAAATAACAAATAGAAACTGATCACGGGGTCAGTCATGACTGTTCGGTCCTGGTAAGTGTGGGACCAATCATAACAGACCACGTAACCAGTGTCTCCTCCTCTCTTGAGTAAGATTATTGACAACATTAGCTGATTAAATGAAAATAGAGAAGCCAAACAAAATCTAGAATTAGTTGTATAAAGGGAAAAACCATAAACCCTTCTTTATAGAAAAGATTGTTTACAAGTTTACAAACTGAAAAGAGAAAAATACCCTTCAACCTCAATATGTCGATGTTCCTCAAGCTTTATTCTACTACCGGTCTCTTTAGACCGTTTGAAAAGATGTGACAAAACCACCTACGACTATGCCTGGGAATAAAGACACACTCATAACCACAACAAAAACGTCAAGCAAGAAATCAAAACTCAAACTAGTATTTGTAATCCTTGACATGAAGGCTCTCTGATGCACCCTCACTCAACGAACCACCGCCCTGGTAAGTACCAAGTGTAGCCTCAGAGTTGGCCTTGCACCTCGCAAGGAACGCCGCCTGAGCTGCCTCCACATTTTCCTCCTTTCCTACCCAAGCCTTGAGAGTGCTCTGCTGAAGAGCCCTTCCAAACGAGAAAGTGAGGCTCCATGGCTTCTTACCCTCGAGTTTGTTCATGGCATTAAGGTTGCGAGTAGCCTCCTCCTCGCTCTGCCCACCAGACAAAAACACCACAGCTGGCACTGCCGGAGGCATTGTCCTCTGCAGTGCACGAACGGTGTACTCAGCCACCACTTCAGGGGCAACTTTAGCAGCATCCGAGCCAGGTGTCACCATGTTGGGCTTTAACAGAGTTCCTTCCAGCAAGACATGGTAGTCGTTCAAAGCCTTGTAAACTGCCGCAAGAACGCGTTCCGTGATGTTAGCGCACTTGTCGATGTCGTGAGAGCCGTCTACTAAGATCTCGGGTTCAACAATGGGGACCAGGCCGTTCCTCTGGCATATGATGGCGTATTGAGCCAAACCGTTGGCATTTTCGGTGATTGCAAGCTGAGTTGGTTCGGTAGGGCCAATTTTGAGTACGGCGCGCCATTTGGCAAACCTAGCACCGGCTGTGTAGTACTGCTGGCAACGCTGGTCAAGGCCATCAAAACCCTGAGTGGTGGTCTCACCATTGGTTCCGGCAAGCTCAAGGGTACCCTTGTCAACCTTGATTCCAGGCAAAACACCACCCTCCTTGAGCACCTCAACAAAGGGCTTACCTACATGACACAGAACATGAGCAGTGAGGAATTTCCAGCCGTAAAATTTAGCAAGCAAAGAGTAATTATTGCTAGGTCAGATGTATCCACAAACAAAAATAACTTTGGCATAATGTTGATGATTTTTAGTCCTATCATCAAATGAAAATTGTGTAAATTGAATTGTGATTGTTACTAAGGTTTTAACTCAATGTTGCCCCGAAAGCCAAAATCCTGGCTTCGCCATTGAGTGTCAACAATGCCTTCGGCTTTTTAGAGCAAGAGAATAGAGTTTTAGTAGAGTTCAACATTTTTCCTCGTAGCATCAAGCACTAGCCTACTGTCAAAAACCATTATACTTTGAGCAATGAAAAAAATAGCAGTAAACAAGTTTAATATTGTTGAAGTCATTATACCTGCGGCAGTCTTCTGATAAAGAGTTTCCTCATAGAGAATCACTCCACTGAGGTATTGAAGAGCACCGGGAGTGGTGAAGAGGAGCTCACGAAAAGCCCTCCTGTTTGACTCATTATTCTCAACATTAATGTTGGAAAGACGCTTGCCCATTGTGCCAGTGGACTCATCAGCAGCTAGGATACCCTTTCCAGGAGTGCCAATGTAGTAAGCATTGGCAATGAGCTCATCTGCAAGGCATAGAAAGTTCATTTCAATAATGCAAAGACATATAAATATCTACATAAATATAAAAACGACCTAACAAATGAAATATCAGTCATTACAAAAATTGATCATGAAACAACTTGTTACCACAAAATCCTAGATTGTAATAACAAAGTAGTGATTGGTTATGTACTTCACAGTTATTCTTCCCACTATATAATGTTCCTACAGAAAAAATTAATAAATCTAGGCAGCCCATGATTTCCCCTCGTATATTACCCATATGTGGGAGTAAAACATTGTAAACACTATAAAACAAAATTTAGCTTAGAATCATTCAATTCTTTAGAATGTAATCTTATCTATGTGCAATGTAAAATTGATCCCAAAAACAATTTTATCAACTGACATTTTGACAAAAAGCCTATTAGGCTTCCAAACACACACAAGGGAAACAGAACAAACATGAAGGACGTACTTTCCTGTTAAAAAAAAAAAACAGAAGGCTCAAGCACAGAACTTGATTAGTACATAATTTAATATATATATATATATATATATTTGCAATCATAAAATTATAATGATGAGTTAATGGTAGAAGTAAAAATCATACAAATCAAACAAATAAAAAAGAAAGGTGATGATTCTGCATTGAAACTACTTAAAAGAGTTTGTAGCAGTTTACCCGTATATTCGAACAAATGAATTCTCATATGATTTCAAAATGTACACCTCTAAACCAAACAAATAAATCTAGCAATGCAATATTTTCAAAAATTCCAAAACCAAAACTAACTAATCTGATAATCACACTCACTTGATATTCCAACTCCAAGCAGGCATTTCCCAAATATGAACAAATTTGTAAACAATTACGCCCAAAAAAATAAAAAAGAGCAGCAACTTAATAAAGAGTTATTTCAGCCATAAAGTGTAACAAATTCGACTTAGAAACCAACATATATTTGTAAGGGATTTGTATTAGTGCCAATAACTGAAATCTGAGCTATCAGAATTCATACAAGTTTGGCAGACCACAATCCAGAAATTTTCCATGAGTAACCAAAAAAACAATCAGGCCTACATTTCTTTCCCAATTGTGTAATTCTCAAAATTTTTCTCACTTCAAGATCCACTGACTGACAATGGCCAAAAACAGATCAATCAAACAAATTGGCCAGAGAACAAGCATAGATAGCCTTATATAATATTTCAATAAAATTTTGAATAATTAGGCTGTGTTTCAATCTCGTATGTATGGAGGAAAAAGAAATGGAAAAGACTTTCCTCTTTCCTTTTCTTTTCCCTCTTCAAATCCATGATCCAAACACAACATTAAGCTAACATTTTAGCAATTAAAAGGGTATATTAAATACATGCATCAAAAGAGGAATTAACTGATCTGATAATAACTAATCAATCTACAAACATTCAAAGTAGAAACCATAAATAATTTCTCTTGATGGATGAAACATCATGACCTTAAAATAGATCAAAGCAACAATCAATTTTTAGATCATACAGATTCGATCAAACTTACACCAGAAAAGATTAAATCTGATTAAAGATGATGTTTTTTTTAAATTTTTTTTCCAAAATGACACACATAGATAAATGATGAGTCCCACAAATGGTGGACCCTACATGTGCAACACTATGTTCAATTATGTGGAAAAAAAAACACATGTATAACAAAAATTGCATTTTTAACTAAATTTATGCCAGAAATGTTACCAAAATAAATTCCAAGTCTAGAACTGAGAAAAATTAATTTAAAAAAAAAAAGAACACAAACCCTCATTATAAATTTAGAAATGAAATCAGATATAAAGAACAACCATAAAGAAAAGGGCTACCAAGAAACAAATGGGGGATTTACCATGGTACTTTCCCTTGAAGCAAGACATGGCTGTAGAAGAGGGACTGAGGAAGAAGATGATATAAAATTTTTTGAGAGAGTCTCTTTGGACAAAGAGAGAAACAGAGAGAGAGATGGAAGTGGGATGGATGATGGGTTAGGGTTTTATTTGAGAGAGAGAGAGAGAGAGAGAGAGAGAGAGAAAGAGAGAAAAGCGGAAAAACGTAAACGTTCTTGCAGTCCAAGCTAACTGCTGTTCATGGCGGTTTTTTTTGTCCATTTACGTTTCTGCCCCTCTCCTATTGCGTTGGTCTCGGCCCAAAAACCGCCCAAAAACCACCCAAAATTTAGAAGGAAACAAATAAATAAATAAATAAATAAAATATCGAAATCATAAACACATAGTCGGATATTGAAAAAATATCGATAGATAAATATATTTTCAATGGAGATTACCTCTAAGAAATTATGTCCATCAATATACTTGGGTGTCGTTTGGTAACACTTACGTTTTCAGTTTTCTATTTATATTTACAAAAATTTAAAAAACTCAAATAAAAACTTGTTTGGTAAAAGGTTAGGGTTTTATTTGAGAGAGAGAGAGAGAGAGAGAGAGAGAGAGAAAGAGAGAAAAGCGGAAAAACGTAAACGTTCTTGCAGTCCAAGCTAACTGCTGTTCATGGCGGTTTTTTTTGTCCATTTACGTTTCTGCCCCTCTCCTATTGCGTTGGTCTCGGCCCAAAAACCGCCCAAAAACCACCCAAAATTTAGAAGGAAAATAAAAAAAAAAAAAATAAAAAAAATCGAAATCATAAACACATAGTCGGATATTGAAAAAATATCGATAGATAAATATATTTTTAATGGAGATTACTTCTAAGAAATTATGTCCATCAATATACTTGGTGTTTATTTTGTGTTCATAGACTTGTGGGTAAGGGGTTGTTTGGGATGAACTAAATAAGCGTACTTTTTGTTTTTTTACGAAAAGATATGCAGAAAAGTAGTGTGATGAAAAAAAGATAAAAAGATGGATTATTTTTGGATTGCCAAACTTGGCCTAAACTACATTTTGTCTCTCAACTATTATCGTTTTTCACTTTGTCCTTTAAGATTAAAAGTTAATACAATATATCTTCTTCATCTTTTGTAAATTTTCAATTTAATCTTTATGTCTCTATTTTGTTAACAAAATGGACCGAAAGATTACATCTAAAGTATACACGCCCTATTTATGACGAAAATACCTTTTAATATAAATATGACATGTGCATATCATATATACTTTTTTCGTCTGTTTTGTTAACTGAATGGAGACATAAGGGTTAGATTGAAATTTTTCAGAAGATGAAAGGGTACATTATATCAATTTTTAGTTTGGTAAAGTAAAAAAAAAAAAAAAACGATGATAGTTGAGGGGAGTAAAGTGTATTGTCCTAAATTTATTGCTAATTTATTTTAGGAAGCTCCTAAATGTATTTATCAAATTTTTTCTCCTCAATGGAGAGGATCAAAGTTCATAGTTGGTATAGATAGAAATTTGGTGGATGTATTTTTATGCTCCCTTTATTTTGTTGTTTATTTATCGAATGAATTCAAAATGTATTCTTTTTATTTCAATTATTCTTATTATTTTTTAAATTATTACTGCACGTACCTGGTCCCTCGCGGTGTGTCAACATATTGTCCGCTTTAGGGTTGGGTCGTTGAGAGCTTCCCCTCTCATGGTTTTGTTCCTCCCCCTGAAAGAGGGGAAAAGGCCTGTTGACAGATAGGCGGTTATGTTGGGTCTATTCCACATCGACTCGGGAGGGACTCCTCGTCTACCTTATAAGCGTACTGGCCCCTTCCATCCGCCAAAAAGCCTTTTCCCCTCTTCCAGGGGGAGGAACAAAACCGTGAGGGGGCAAGGTCTCAGCGGCCCAACCCCAAAGCGGACAATATGTTGACACACTGCGAGGGACTAGGCACGTGCAATTACTAATAATTCTTTATATTTTCTCGGTAGAGTTATATAAGACGGCTCAATTTTAAGTTTTTCAATATAAATTTATTTTTAATCAAAAAAATTCTTAGTTACTTTTATCGATATTTCAACAAGTAAACACACCCTTGGTGTTTATTTTGTGTTCATAGACTTGTGGGTAAGGGGTTGTTTGAGATGACTTAAATAAGTGCACTTTATGTCTTTTTATGAAAAGATGTGCAGAAAAGTAGAGAGACAATGTGATGGAAAAAAGATAAAAAGATGGATTATTTTTTGGTTGCCAAACTTGGCCTAAATTACATTTTGTCTTCTAAGATTATATTACACTTTATGTCTAAAAAGATGGATTACACTTTATGTCTTCTAAGATTAAACTTGGCCTAAATTACACTTTATGTCTCAACTATTATCGTTTTTCACTTTGTCCTTTAAGATTAAAAGTTAATACAATATATTTTCTTCATCTTTTGTAAATTTTCAATTTAATCCTTATGTCTCTATTTTGTTAGCAAAATGGACCGAAAGATTACATCTAAAGTATACACGCCCTATTTATGACGAAAATACCTTTTAATATAAATATGACATGTGCATATCATATGTACTTTTTTCATCTGTTTTGTTAACTGAATGGAGACATAAGGGTTAGATTGAAAATTTTCATAAGATAAAAGGGTACATTATATCAATTTTTAGTTTGGTAAAGTAAAAAAAAAAAAAAAAACGATGATAGTTGAGGGGAGTAAAGTGTATTTTGTCCTAGATTTATTGCTAATTTATTTTAGGAAGCTCCTAAATGTATTTATCAAATTTTTTCTCCTCAATGGAGAGGATCAAAGTTCATAGTTGGTATAGATAGAAATTTGGTGGATGTATTTTTATGCTCCCTTTATTTTGTTATTTATTTATCGAATGAATTCAAAATGTATCCTTTTTATTTCAATTATTCTTATTATTTTCTAAATTATTACTGCACGTGCTTGGTCCCTCGTGGTGTGTCAACATATTGTCCGCTTTGGGGTTGGGCCGCTGAGAGCTTCCCCCCTTACGGTTTTGTTCCTCCCCTTGAAAGAGAGGAAAAGGCCTGTTGACAGATAAGGGGTTATGTTGAGTCTATCCCACATCGATTCGGGAAGGACTCCTCGTCTACCTTATAAGCATACTGGCCCCTTCCATCCACCAACATGCCTTTTCTCCTCTTCGAGGGGGAGGAACAAAACTGTGAGGGGGTAAGCTCTCAGCGGCCCAACCCCAAAACGGACAATATGTTGACACACCGCGAGGGACCAGGCACGTGCAATTACTAATAATTCTTTATATTTTCTTGGTAGAGTTATATAAGACGGCTCAATTTTAAGTTTTTCAATATAAATTTATTTTTAATCAAAAAAATTCTTAGTTACTTTTATCGATATTTCAACAAGTAAATCTTGATTTATAATGCAAAATAAAATTTGAATTTCTCATTTTTGACTATGTAACATAAGAGGTTTTAGAGATATATACTGTAAACATTGAAACAATTATGTCTTATAGATAGTGTCTTCATTTGAAGCTATTCTATGAAATGATAGGGAAAAAATGAAGAAGAAAGTAAAATATGGTTCTTGGTTTTTCTGCAAAAAAGATAATAAAGATATTTCTCATTTTTTACTTTAGTCTTTTATTGGGCTAACGATTGCATTATTAGGCCCAGCCCATCAGCAGAAGGATAGAAGTGGCAAAAAAAGATTTTTTTTTAAAACAGAAAAAGGGGAGTTCCAAAGATAGACACCAAAAACCAGATGCTCACAAATTAGTGGGTAGGATTTGAGAAGGGTCAAAAACAAGATGTGAAAAGAGAAAATTGGATCCCGCTTCACAAGTTAGTTGTCAGTTTAATGAAAAAACCAACCAACCAACCAAAACACTCGGTTCAAAAAAAAAGGCAACAAAAAAAACCAACAAAAACACTTGTGGGGTGTGGAGTGACTTCAGCTTTTACAATGGAAAAAGCAAGGCTAGGGTGAGAGGGTTGTAGTTGGTGGTAATGAAACATTACCAAAAACCAATGAGAGGAACTCCTAAAATTGTGGGGATAGGTTTGATTGTTAAGGACTTGAGAGTTTTAAGGGCCAATGATTGACTCTCCTTCCCCACAAATTTCTTGATATTTTTGTCTCAAAATATTTATAATTATTGAATTAAATAAAAACAGTATAATTGGACTTGATATGTATTGAGAGAGAAGAGCGGGCCAGGTAAGAAAGATGGAGAAATTGTGTTTGTGAATTTCATTTGAGAAAAAATTATGTTGGATTTGAGTTGAGAGGAAAAAAAAAATGTTAAGAAAGAAAACAATGCTTGAGAAAGAAGTATAAAGAGACAATAGAAGTTAAAAGAGAAGAAAATAAATAAATAAATTTGCGTCAAGCCATTAGAAAGGCAAGGAAAAAAGAAGAAGAAGTTAAATTGTATAAATAAGTGTGGTGTGGCATAATAAATTTAACTCATGATTCTCACCATTAAACTCATTAATCAAAATTAATTGTGTGCCAACATCTCATCACACATAAGGGGTGTAGGGGTAATTATGGGTCCGACGCCAGTTCAACAATTTGATATTTTTAGGACTTTAAAAATATTTATTCTAGTAAATTAATTATTAGAGAGTGCAATAAGTTGTTTATTTAATTATACGATTCCAGGGCGAACCAAGGTAAATGGAGGATGGAGGCCGGTGCTGAGAAAGCATTGCGGTCAAGTATTTAGGAATAACACAATGGAGAATGAGATTCACACGATCTTAGTGGATAATCTACTAGATTCTATGGATCCAAAAGGGCTGTATAAAGTATTTACCAACTTTGGGATTGTAAAGGATGTGTTCATCCCGAACAAAAGAAGGAAGATGGCTAGATCAAGATTTGGCTTTGTACGATATGCCTGTCCAGTGGCAGCAAATATGGCAGTTCAAAAAGCTCATGGAATCTGGTGTGATAACAGAGCGTTGAAAGTAAAAGAAACAGACTTTGTACAAGGCAAGGAGGAGAAATAGAGGCCACTAAATGTACCAGGTAGAAGAAGGGATATTGGTAGTACCAGCAGAGTTCCAAATATGGTACAAGGCACTACTAGAAAAATAACTTTTTTGCGTCTAGTTTTTTATGACTGTTTATTTGACCGTCACAAAAA